GCGGAACCGCTTGCACGACTGTTCAATGCATCACTGGAGGAAGGACGACTCCCTAGTGACTGGCTAGTGTCAACTGTCACTCCAATCTACAAAGGGGAAATAGAGAGAACTGCGCAAATTACCGACCCGTCAGCTTGACTCCGGTGGTATTAAAAACCATGGAGCGAATCATACGGGATAAAATGGTCACACACTTAGAAGCAACCAAGATGTTGACCGCACATCACCACGGCTTCATGAGGAGAAGATTGTGCCTCACCAACCTGCTGTGCTTCCTTGANCTGCACTGAGAGAGGCTGTGGGATGTGTTAGGGATGACGATGGAGTAGCAGCAGTAACCAGCCTTGAGAAGGCCAACATCCTGTGCCACTTCTATCAGGCTATCTATAGAAGGGATTTATGTGCCTCAGGTAGGTCTGTTGGGGCTTGCACGCAGCTGGTCATGCCAGAGGTGTACATAGAACCAACGATCGTAGAAGAGCACCTACAGAGATTGGTGATATCTAAGGCCCCGGATACAGACCAACTACATCCAGCAGTATTAAAACCACTGGAGAGCGTGCTTGCGCAACCGCTTGCACGACTGTTCAATGCATCACTGGAGGAAGGACGACTCCTTGGTGACTGGTTGGTGTCAACTGTTACTCCAATCTACAAATGGGGAAATAGAGAGAACTGCGCAAATTACCGACCCGTCAACTTGACTTCGGTGGTGTTAAAAACCACGGAGCGAATCATATGGGATAAAACAGTCACACACTTAGAAGCAACCAAGATGTTGACCGCACATCAGCACGGCTTCATGAGGAGACGATCGTGCCTCACCAACCTGCTGTGTTTCCTTTACGAGGTAACGCATAGAATTGACCGAGGATACAGGGTGGAAGTCTGCTATCTAGAATTTCAATAGGCCTTTGACTCGGTCAACCACAGGTTGATGATGATGAAGCTTCGGCGCTTTGGGCTGACTCCCAAGGTGGAACGGTAGATATGTAGTTGTCTAAAGAGTCGGAGCTTCCAGGTTAAGGTAGAAGGGAAGTATCCCACAGGGGAGAACTCCGTAGTCGGGTCCCACAGGGGTCGGTTCTGGGTCCGCTACTGTTTGTTCTGTATATCAGTGATTTAGTGGAGAGCTTGGGGAACCCATGTCTCCTCTACGCTGATGACGTAAAGCTGATCGGCAACCCCAACTCCGGGACTATGCAGAGTGATCTCAGCAAGATCTACGAATGGTCTGTGCTATGGGATTTGTCACTAAATATAGCCAAATGCCAGAGACTCATCGCTCAGCGGGACGAAGAGCAGGGTAGACGTCTCTGCCCACCAGGCACTGGGGGTGAACTGGATGTAGTGAGGGAGGCCAGGGATCTTGGTATTAAGATCCAGGCTGATTTCAAACTAAGTGCACAGTGCCGACAAGCGGCGCGAAAGACACTAGAAGCTCTCTACCAATTGAAGAGAGCAGTGAGCTCCAGAAGGAAGGAGGTTGTTCTATCACTGTACAGGGCCCATGTGCGCCCTCATCTGGAGTACAGTGTTCAGGCCTGGAACCCACATCTAGCTGGGGATGTAAAAGCACTCGAGAAGACGCAGCGGTACTTCACCAGATGGTTCCAAGGAATACAGAACCTTAGATATNGACAAGCGGCACGAAAGGCACTAGGAGCTCTCTACCAATTGAAGAGAGCAAAGAGCTCCAGAAGGCCGCAGGTTGTTCTATCACTGTACAAGGCCTTTAAACGTACTCGAGAAGACGCAGCTGTAGTTCATCAGATGGTTCCCAGGAATGCGGAACCTTAGATATGAGGACAGGCTGGAGAGAATTGAGTTCTTCTAGCTGGTGAGAAGAAGAAGAGGAGGAGACCTGATCGAGGCATTTAAACTCCTGAAGGGTTTGGATGACACTGGGGAAGAAGGGAGACCACTACTACCTCCCAGCGAGAACCCAATGTTAAGGGGTAATGACTTTAAGTTAGCTAAGGTCAGAGTTTTCACCCGTATAAGGCAGCAATCGTTTGCTATAAGGGTGGTGAACGACCGGAACAGACTACCCGATAAAGTAGTCAATTCCAGTTCGGTGAAGAGCTTCAAGACCCGCCTGGAAGCCGTATTGCAAGGCCTTTTCACCTAAGGAGCCGCCTAACCAACGTGACTGTCCGGAAACTTCAC